TATGTATATGCATATAGTTGTATAATTAGGAGGTACAATAGTCGTCTTCGAGATTTAATCTCGACGCTACAGGTAAAAGAGCGCGGGCATGACAACAACAACAAAAAAGACAATATTACGCGATGATGTAATCGGCCACAAATAATCTTGCGATACTTCCGAAAAATTCCGTAAAAACCACGTGATTTGCCCCCGCTTTAGCCATCCCCCTAATGTGGCAATACTATTTAAATTATCTGACTATTCAATTATTACAAATTAATTAACTGAGCACATGCTACCATAATATACTAAATAATTGAAAAAACAGGCAATCATCTTTAACGTTTATTTAAATTTAGTCTGAACACATTATTATTTATTAACGACAAGCCAATCCATTCATACATTGTACACGCGAAATTATTTTACGTAATAGTAATAAGAATGTTTATTTTAGGACAAATGAGGAAATTAATCGTATAATGACATAATGATAAATGACAAACTTGGAGACCAGTTGCACCAGCGACGAACGAAATTAACCTTCTTGTTTTGTCGTACCCCACAAATTATGGAGAACATGTCACAGATGAGGGATTTGATACGAAAACTTCTTTTAAATTTACAGTCATGCATATGCGCAGCCAACGAGTGACGTTGACTGTTATATTAAACAAACAGTTACCGAACCTAACGCGTTATGAGCCTATTTTAGGTATAATTCGTCGAAAATAAAGGATTACCGGCAAAGTTTACCCAACACCAAGAAACCGTTTTGATTGGCGCAAACGAACAAAAAGGACAAACTTTAACTGTTATTACAAATAATATTATTCAGCCTTTTTTACATACTAACAATCTTATTTCTCATTTAAACTAACTCATGTAGAGAATATTGTCATTATTTAACTATAAATCCTTGAATAACATTTGTGTAAAAACTGTTTTATTCAAGATTGTGAGTCACTAAATTAAAAATAGACCAAGGTTAATTGGCTGTATTTAATATCAACACGTAACCAATTACTGTCATCATACTTGCGATTGAACCAAAATAATAACTGTTTCTTGGTGTGAGCAAATCTCCAGTAGGGAAAAATTTACCAGAGTATTTACTCTTTTTTTCGAGACATCATTATGGTAACTGGTATATACCACGCGTCGTCAATAAGCTTGTCAATCTCTCCTCCAAAGTGTATACGCATCAGGCAAGTTTCTTGTATTTCTCTGGTACAGAATCAGGTATCGATGATCGATAATATCGCATACAATCTCTACCAAACTGCCATTTCTCTAAATGGAGGTTCGCCAGCAGCAATCAAATACATGGTGATATCCAGAAAATACACATCCGATTTCTGAGTAAATTTGCACGTATGGAAAGACTTCGGGTGCAATAAAAGGCAAAATGCCTTTTTGAATGGTTGAATTTGACTCGTGATCGTGAGAGACCAAAATCACATATCAAATTATTTTTTCATGCGCATATAATTATGCGTAACTATGAAGATCAATGAATAGTATTCACAAACATTGTACTTTCGTCTTTCACGACAATTTGTTAATATTTTGATCCAAATAAGTCAGAAGATTACCACTGTTAGCATATTGCGTGACTGCATAATGGAAAGGAATGGAGGATAATCATCACGTATGCATTTTAAAAGGATCAAAAGCATAAGTGTTGTAAATATACGTGTGGTAATTAGTTGCGTTAAGAAAATACGACCAAGTAAAGATTTCACAAAATTATTCCAGTAAAAATTGGATATATAAATGCTATCCACTTATTGAATGGGGGGGTTTTTTTTCATTGTAACTAGGCAAAAAAAATATTGTTTATTTATACCTCCGCTTTAGCAACATTGCCTCATTTCCATCTTGATTGACTAGTAAAGACCAGGGTTATCGATAACACCGAATGTGTCAAAAATCTGTCCACAAAAGCAGAACCCGATTGAGGTAAAGGTGTTAGATCTTGAGGGGGGCGATACAAATGTTTTCCATCTCTGCCACATACTGTATGTGAAACATTTTATTCGATACACATACTTTAAAACCGTGTCACCACATCACGTGCAATTATAATTATTATACATTAGCACCCGATCCAGAAGGTAAACTTCGCCAATCGGTGAAACGCACACAAGGGACTAAGATCAGCCGTTAATGACGACGACAAAAGTTTGTATTCAATTTTACTGCAGTTGTTAAACAGTTAAACACGTCGCTTACACTCAGAAATAAAAGTTCGAATGACGAATATGGAGAAATAAAAGAACTTCCAGCGGCTGTGTCACAAGAAATCATTGACCGGAATGGAGGGGAGGGGAACAACGAAAGTATAAGTGTGAATGGAGCAGCAATGAAGAAAGTCAAATGAACGTTACCGGTGGAAATTTATACCCAAATGCTTCCAGTATGAAATCTAATCAAGAATAGAGTTTTTGCAGTTTAAGTTGGAGAGGCTCCTTGACTAATTCATGTATTTTGTATCAGGTGTAACAGACACTGCAATGTAAGCTAAGTCTCAGGGACAGGCATTCAACAGATACTGGACGATCTCGAGTCGGCTAAAGCAATGTCTGTAAAATTTCACTACATGTTTTCTGCACATCTTTCAATCATTTCTCCCCTGACTCAGCTTCTGTCATTAGTTATTATTATAGGCAAGAATCATCAAAAACTTCCCACAGTGTTGTTGCCATAAGACAACAGGCTGGCACTTCCGAAGCCGCTAAACCCATTGGCTCGTTAGTCCGTCGTCAGACGCCAAGATTACAGAGACCCGAATAGCACCCGCCTTGGAAGTTAATTGGGTTGGGTGCGATCAGTGGGCTATTTTGTTACTGGGGATAGAACTATCAAGGTAGGGAATTAGAAAAGGAAGGGAGAGACAATGAACAATGATTGGGTATAGCGAATGAGTTTTCGAATAATTTGGACTGACATTGGTAATTATTCAAACTTGGATCTGGGCTTTTGCATCGATCGGATACATTAAAGCTTTCGCTTACGGGACGCATATCCACAGTGTAAGTGCGAGGATTGGCTGTGTCGCCGAGGCATCCATGTCTATTTTCTTGTGGAGAGGATAAAATGATCAAATGCTGGAATTTAGACATAATAAAGTTATTAGACATTACCATGGGCATCTTTCCGGGGGGTGTATTCACTAAGTCTGCATCCAACATTGATGTACTGGTTACCGCTGGGAGGGACGCGACAGCCAGGGTATGTTGATGACGATTGGCGGAAGTGAATTCTCGCCAACAGAGTTTGCGTTTGGCAGATAATATAAAAGCAATGAAATTTTCACAGAATTTCAAAGGTCACAAGGCAATCATAAATTGCTTGACTGTAATGCCGATAATGTATTGTTCTCGTGAGGTATGGAATGGTCGTTGGTATTTGTTGTGGTTGTGGCATGACAGAGTATTTGCTTTCTGTTGTAATGTTGGTGTCAACAGGTGAATAATAATACTGGTTCTGTCTTTCCCGGTTATAAAGGTGATACGGCACAATGTAATCACTCATAGATTAACACCAAGTTGGCGCGCCTCATAACCGAATGGCTACAAAAATCTCGGTATGTTAGCTATTGGGTCTACGAACTAATATTCTGGTCACACGCCCTAGAGTTCAAAAATTAACACACGTATGAGCTGTACTTAAAATCTGTAGCGTGCGCAAGCGTTATGTTATCTATTAACCGAAAATTAGAATTGAACTAATTTTAACTCTTTATAATAAACTTACAGTTGACTTGTTGGCCGTTTTGAACATATTGAGCATGTATCAACCGTGCGATTACAGATTACTTTGTACTCACCATGTACAAGTTCCAAGAATTAACATTACCAAACATGTTTTATTTTTGTTCAACGGACAAATCTATTCATTCTGGAATTTCTCGCTTGAATAGAATCGTCTTTTCTGTCAACACTGCAATCACGTAGATAACGTGAACAAATTATAAACAAAAGCTACGAGGATGCCCGCTTAATTTAATCGCTTACAATAACATTATTTATTCCCACCACACTTTTTACATACTGTACATACATACATACATACATACATACAAACATACATTATTGTAAACCCAATCATAAATATCATAAATGCTTATGTAACATGTACGTATAAAACACTGTATATGAAAGAAAGATAATTTCACTAATAATGATAAAATAGCCAAAATATAGTGTTGTCGATTAGTGAAATACGATTGACAAATTTACGTCAAGATACACAGCACAGTAACGTGTCGTGTAAAACTATCATACCGCTTCTAACTCAGGGGCAAGAATAATCAAGGCTTTGAAAATTTTAGTGTTCAGATCGTTTCTAGCAAAAATTTTAAACAACCAATATTTTATTCCGAGATATATTTATCTGATACTCAACTTTGGCAAAAATTGATATCTCGACCCTGTCCAATCGAATTCTGTAATCTTTTTTAATTCCATCAGTACGCACAAATTACTTCGTAAAGTTGCTACTAGAAATTGCAAATAATCATGTGACACGATGATATTATGCACATTTATACTGATTATAATATTGCAAGCAACAGAAAAACGCAAGATCTGGCAAACAACACAAAAAGGTTATGCAAATCGATTAGGAACATGTGGGAATATGAATTTTAAAGTTATGTTACAAATAAATGATATACCGACATGGCTTTATACGTTATAATGGGTTTGATAGATGTTTGTAAAATTTGCTGGGGATATTCGATCTTTACAAATTGTCAGGGTTGTTATACACAACATGCAAGGAAATTTTTCAAAGCGTTCGATTATTTCTGTCCTAAATTAGAAGCGTTAAGATGCTTTTGCACATTACTGTATAACGAATACCACGCTTGTCTTCCTACGAATAATCGAACATTATTACAAAACAATCGTATACAGTTTAGCAAAAAAAAAAAGTTGACAAATTATTATATTGATAAAATATTACATTGATAATTATCAAAAGACAAGAAACACGGTCTATGCCTTTGAACTATTATATAATTATTGCACTATTTTAAAATAGAAAAAATGGGTTTCCTTCCAAAAACACATACTACGATTTGCGTTTATACACATATCCTAGAATGACTCGGATGGGCGTGTCACAATAATGTTTCTCTTCGGACAATATAATAGAAGTTACCAGCACAGTAACTGATCTTCATGACAGCAAAATATATACATAACTATGTTATTTCGAATGTATACCCGACATAACGCTATTTGCTAGTACCAATCCAATCCATCATTAAAACAATCTATACAACTGACAAATACTATCCATTTGCCAGTGAAGTCTCGCATTGCAAAAAACTCTATTCCATCGCTTGAATTTGTTAGCGTAGACTATTTGTTAAAGCAGACTCCATTCTATAATATACGAATAAACAATGTTTGTCTTTGTATAACTGTTGACTTTACTGTGTAATTCTTTCTCTTGTATATCGAAATTCAGTTAATCAACCGATTCGACTCAACTTTTGCAAGATAAACAGGTTAAAAACGACAAAAAACTTTTTTTTTCTTGTAACATCCAACAAACTGAATTTATTTAAATAATAAATTTCTGTTAATTTATAGGCTTTTTATTAATCTACTGTATAACCGCGTGTTTTTAATAAATTACATGGATGCAAAAAAATTATCCTACCCGAGCCGCATTGAAACTTGTGAGTAGGCCACATCTACAAACAATAATGCATTTATGTATTTTGGTTAAACAGTTATTTAGAATAATATTGTCAATATAAAATAATTGATTTACAGAATAGAGAGGTAAATCATTTGTGGTAATCATTTGACGATGTTTACGCACACAACCCTAACAGTTTCAAAACGGTTCAGTTCCCCCATGATCGTGTCTCGTCAACCCAGGCCCTATCCACCCAGGAGAATGACGTTTGCGTCTTTATAGAAAAAAATATGTATGTGAGTATCATAAGTACTTACCGGATAACATTCTTGTCAGCACTTGCGATAACAGTAAATGTAAATACCGTAACGGCAATCAAGATTAAACGAAACATAAACATTGCGGGGTAAATATGTGGGGGTATAAATCTCGAAAATAGATTTTATGACGGTGTAAGAGTAAGCGATTTGACCAAGGGCCTAAGTTTCGTCAAAAAACATTCACGTTGTGCTTATATATATATTTTGCTTGATTAATCTGCACGTCAGAAACTCAGCCGAGTTTTTTGGCGACCGAAATTTAAACCCGAACCCTCACATGACTGGGTTATACTATACCACAGAATAAAATCGAAGGTCATGGAACTTTTCCGAAATAAAATCACATGCTTGAAAATCGATTGCGTAACACAGATGTTCGATCAACACATCACATGCTATATCACAGAAAACTCACACAGCGACCCCCCCAAAATTCCGCCGCTGATCTGTAGATCATTTCCAGAAATCGCCTTACGGAATTGCCG